GAGTAAAGAATCATGCCATTAGAAGAGCAAATATAAATACGCGGGTTCTGGAAACGGTATATCCAAAGGTTATTAAGAAGAGTGGTGGCGTATGGTCTTGGATAATGGAGAAATTGGGTCTTGGAAAAGATGATGATACAACAGTTGATGCTGATGCCAAATCAGAAGAATCTGATGCTCACTCCCTTATGTTTCCATGGCATATACTGAAGCGTGATGAAGATAGTCTTTTAATCATTAACAAAAGGTAAATAGACTAGTGAAAGGGGTTGCTTCTTTATTGTAGAGAAACTTCATTCTCTCTTTGTTTCTCTTGGTCCCCTTTACCCTCAACCAAATTGATTTGTCATTTTTCCAGCTTTACGAAGTTATGGATAGTAAATCTAGCTGCAGGAGAAATCGAAGAAGTTGTGGAAGGTAAGATATAAGAATCGGCATGTTGTTTTTCCGAATTATGGTACTTGGCTTCTGACTTAATGTATCTAACATATGTTTATCGTTGAAGGGTTTCCGGGGATAATGGAGATCTGTGGGGAATTGATCACAGAGAAGCTATCAGTATTGAAACATTTACCTTCTAATTGGTTGAAACAGCAAACTGAGGCTATCACCTCGTGCAAGGAGCCGCCAAGTGTTTCCCTTTTGTCTTCTTTCTCTAAACTTGGCAACGACGTTGTCATGACAGATATAGGTAAAAGACATTGACGCAGCTTTGTTAGATTGTTTCATCTCTATGCATCATCTAACCAATTTTGACTTGTACATTAAGCTTGTCAGAGGTTGTTGAAGCTAGATGGAGAATCTGGAGCATCCTCTAGTGTTCGGTTCTCAAATATTGGGATCCTTGGGTTGCCCTATTGGTTGTCCATTCCACTGGAGAGAGTTTTTAACCTGTTAGTGACTCCTTAATGCCATTTTGTTTTTATTTCTTTCTGAGACTCCCCAAATGCTAGTCATTTTATTATCCATAAAATGCTATTTCTTTCTGAACCTAACTAATTATGTTGTGCTCGTTTGGTTAATATAAAACAGAGCTAATGGAGTTCAGGAAGCACACATCAGTCATAATCACGAACTCCGGTTGTTACCAGGTGCGATTTGTTAGCAAACACTAATGTTTCATTTATACACTTATATTCGTCCCAGTTAGCTGCAGCACGAAGATGGTTTTTACATTGGGTCTAACCGGCAATCTAAGTATCCGTCTGATTCAACCACTACTTTTTTTTATTGAACAGGTAAAATTAGCATACGGTTGAACATAGAGATTCCTCCATGCACAGAACTTGTTGAACCGATACAAGAAAGCTGCATATGGCGACAGGCAAGAGGCGTAATCACTGAAGTCTCGAATGCTGGAAGCGCAGAGGAACCTTCTGAAAAGGTTAAGAGAGTTGCATCCCCGACATTTGCTCTGGTTTAATTCCGAGGTTGCTTAGAAATTTTGTTTTCATGACTTGTAGGTTGGAGTCTCACAACAATGGTATGATGAATTAGACAGCCTCGCCAAAGAAATAGCCACCCCCGAATTAGCTGAGGAAGAGGAAGAAGTAGACGATACTATCCCTTCTGAGATCGAAAGCGAAGAAGATGGACGGATTCACATCGATTGTACTGTCAATACAAGTCCTGGCTCAGGCGAGGTACGCCTAAATTCTTCTCCAAAGCCTCTGTTATCAACAAGGGCGAAAGTTTGCTACTTAAAAAAAAGAAATATAACGTTTGTCAACTCGGGTTTGTGCAGCTTATTGTTTATGCAGCTCTGTATTTAAGACTGGCGAAGAACGAAGAGACAGAAAGTGCGAACCAGGAAGAACTGGCGAGGAGAATAACAGACATTTTAAAGCCGGCAATGAACATGACGACGATGAATGAAGATTTGTTTGTGAAACTATTGTTGAAGTCAAAGAGAGAATTGAGAGACATTGTTTTCTTGAAGCCGATGCATGTCCGGATTAGGTTAGACTCGATGGATCACCCGAAAGCCGAGAACTCAAGAGATGTAATCCTGACCGACTCTTCTGCTCAGGTTGATGTCTCTCTTTGACGACGATAGAGCGAGCGTGAGCAAAATGCTGCTTGCGTTGTTTCATATGCTTTCACATCTATGTGAGTTGAATGAGACTTTCATAAAGTGAGACTTTCATGAAGTTTGTGACATTACAGGATTTATTGGTCGATCCATTTTTATGAAATCGGTCACAATTCAGCCCAATGTGAAAATTGTTTGGTACATGTACTGAAGGGTAGATGTGGAATTTATATATACGAGTATAGGGTTTTTTTTAAAAATTTCTTTACTTGATTCATACGCTACTCAAATTCTCATACTTGCAATCACAATAAACATTGACAATCAAAGACTGTAATTTTTTCCAAATCATAGTCACCGTCGAGGGTTTCTCTATAGCTGCGATAAATGGAAATTACATAACCAATCTTTACCTCCATGGTCCTGGGTTCCTTTGATCAATCGAGCTCTACTGTTGTCGAATAAGGTTTAACGTCGATCAACACTATTTTCCATATCCCAACCTTATTTGTGATACTGTTTTTGTCCATTCCTTCGTACGTTTATGATTGTTATTGGTAGGAGGAAGGTTACTTGCGAAGATCGTCATTCACAGCTCACTTGTAGGTTCAAAACAATTTACAGACACATAGTGGGTACAACCACGTAGGAGGTTTGAGCAGGATCAAAGGGACAAAAGATAAACGTTTAAGGAGAAGGATGTATAAACA